AGGTGGGTGGGTGGGCAGGGCTGGAGTGGAGGGGGGGGAAGGGGACGAGGGAGGGGCAAAGCAACAGGATTCGGTGACTCGGGGTGGGTGGCAGCAAGGGGCCTCGGTCAGTGGAGTTGATGGGACCATGTGCAAGGCCTGCAGGGCAGGCAGAGGGAGAACCTGGCCAGACTTAGACACTGCTGGCCATGGAGGGCAGCAACCTACAAGTCCATCAGTATGGACATCTGAGCAGGAGGGGCTCACGAGGCATGGGGAGGGGGGGCGGGTAGCTGGGTGGACCTGAGTTCTTGGGTTCAAGGGGAAGCATTACCTGCAAGTAGAGGAAGGTGAGATGGTCAGATGAGAACCAGAGGGTGGGCACTGACGGCAGAGCCCAGCTAGCTGAGGGGCAGACCGAATAAGAATGAATCCAGGGCATGCCAGGGGACTCTCAATTTCAGGTTCAGTCCTGGCCTGGCATTGCCTGCCTCTCCCCCAGCCTCCCCACTTGGGAGCCCCCTGCCAGAGGGTGGCATTGGGCCCCTTGTTGGAGCTGGCTGGTTGTGTTTCAGAACAAAGTTCTGGACGTGGATGGCACGAAGGTGAAACTGCAGGTAAGGCAACTGGGGGAGGGTGGGTTGAAGGTAGGAGACACCCAGGAAAGAGTGGGCAGCCCCGACTGCTGGCCTATACCTGTCACTGCAGATCTGGGACACGGCTGGCCAGGAGAGGTTCCGCAGTGTCACCCATGCCTACTATCGTGATGCTCATGGTGAGCTCATAGGCACAGGGTCCCACCCCCAGGGAGTTGGGCCTGTGCTGTTGGTGCCATGCCCTAGGCTTCTGCTTGGAGGGTGTGATACACGAGGTTGTGGGTGATGGGTAGGCTGTTGCAGGTGCTGGAGGTGTCCTCACTGGCCTTCTGCCCCCAGCACTGCTGCTGCTCTATGATGTCACCAACAAGGCCTCCTTTGACAACATCCAGGTCAGTGGCTTCCTTCCAGGTGAGGTGGACAGGCCCCGACCCCATCCATCCCCAACCTCCCTCAGGCAGCTGCAGCATCAGGGCCCCAGAGGGCTCTGAGGACCCTACTGACAGCAAGGAGGGGAAAGGCCCTTCTGGGCTCCTGGTGGCCTGGGTGACCTTTCAGCTCCATCAGCCCAACACCTTGGATGAAGTACCTGTCAGGGGCACCTCAGCATGGCACATGGGGAGCAGTTTCTGGACCCCCCCAGTGAGCCAGAGCCCCACAGGCACTGTGCAGAGTGTTGCCTAGAGGGGCAGATGGTGCCTCCAGTCTGGTCTCAGCTCTCCCAACAGGCCTGGCTGACGGAGATCCAGGAGTATGCTCAGCACAACGTGGTGCTCATGCTACTAGGGAACAAGGTGGGCACCTCTGCCTGTCCTCTCCACCCTGGCTCTACAAGGGGGTTGAGCCCCAGGCCAGCTCTCACCAAGACCCCTATGCTAGGTGGACTCTGCCCAGGAGCGTGTGGTGAAGAGGGAGGATGGGGAGAAGCTGGCCAAGGTGAGTTGGGGTGAGGGACTGTCCCAGGGGTGGCCCCCTTGGGGCAGTAGGGCCTGGGTTGTCCCCACCAGGCTGCCACCCTGCTGGCAGCAGCTGTTTGCAGGAGTATGGGCTGCCTTTCATGGAGACCAGTGCCAAGACAGGCCTCAACGTGGATTTGGCCTTCACAGCCATAGCAAAGTAAGTCCTGGCCGTCACCAGGTAGGCCTCCAGTCCCAGTGTCTGAATCCCTTGTTGAGGGGACAGGCCACCCTGTTCCATGGTCACCCCTACCCTACAGGGAGTTGAACCAGCGCTCCACGAAGGCCCCCAGCGAGCCCCGCTTCCAGCTGCACGACTATGTCAAGAGGGAGGGCCGTGGGGCCTCCTGCTGCAGACCGTGAACCTGGCTGGGCACAGCCACCGGGGTTCCTGCTCAGAGGCCCAGGCTCAGCCCAGCCCCTGCAAATCTGGTCTACAGGTCTCTCTGGCATGTCACCCAGTGGTCAATCCTAGGGTGCCCATTTCCAGGACTCCCAGGCTAAGCCTTGCCTGTCACCCTGGTGGCAATCTACAGCCTCAGTCCTAACAAGTGTTTCAGGGAGCCAGTGGGTCTGCGGCCCCCACTTCATCTGCTGCCTGAGGGCATTCTGTACAGCAAAGGGCACCCAGCAATGTAGACTGGGGTGCCTCCTCCCCGGCTCACTATGGCCCTCTGCTGCCCCCTCCTGGACATGCTCAGCTTTGAGGCTAAGCAGCAGTGACCCCACGTGTACAGTGCCTAACCCCTTAGAAAGCCATGTCTTCAGCTGCACACGCTGCCCAGACAGGGAATGGCAGGGCTCCTGCCCCTGCCCGAGGTAGAGGGCTTCACCAAGAATCACATGCGTTTGTGCCAAGGCCCAGGGCTGCGTGTTCCCAGCCCACCCACTAGGAGGCTCTGGTTCAATCAACAAGGTACTCCTCTCATGGTTCCTTGGAGGATGCCAAGACTGTTGCTTTGTAATACAAGGAATATCATGTGGCAAATCACAGAAATGTCAGGGAAACTAGGACTGCCAGCCCTTGCTTGCTGACGAGGGTACCATCTTGGCAGACCGTGGTATTGGGCATGGCTTGCCCACAGCTGAGGCCTGTGCTTGGCGAGGTCAACCTAAAAAGGCTGGTAGTGCACTCCTTGTACTAAAATCTTCGAGTCTGTTCATTCTTTGTTTTCAATCTTAGTGAATAAATTTGTGTTTTCTGGAATGCCTGTCTTGTTCATTGATATCACCTTTTAGAGCAGTGGGTCTCAACCTTCCTAATGCTGCGACCCCTTAATACAGTTCCTCATGTTGTGGTGACCCCC